CTAGCTAATGTTCTCAGAACTTAGGAATACAAACAATGTTAAAATTTATGCAAATTTATCAAAATTTTGTTTAAAAAGTATCATGATTTGTCCTCCATCTGTATTACATTTGATAATGTATACTGTTGTAAATATGTTTTCTCTGTACATTCGTAGTAATCTTGTAAACAGAAATAAAGTTAAAAGTTGAAACAACGGCAAGTCAATTATATACTGTTTCATAAAAGCTGCATTTCACCTGTGAATACCCGATATTTACCTGTGTTTTAAACAACACATTCTCTCAGATATTTTTGCCATAGCAGGTCCAATTCAACCATTAAAGGCTCAATTTTACCGTTTTCAGTGGTAGCATCTTTTTAACAAAAGTAAGCATTGAAAAGTGTTTCCTTATATTCTATATTTTTTTAAACTTATTCTGTGTACTCATTTTAAAAATCTTAAAAAACTTAAACTGAAAAAAAATGAGGTTACATACAGGTCCAGTAAACTCTGGCAACTGAGCTATATAACTGTATAGAAATACAATATTTATATCGACCTATTCAGAATTGGTCTTTTGAGGTTTTTTCATGTTATTTTCTTTTTAAAAGAAAACGACACAAAGTAAATAGAAGACCTTATCAATATTTTGTTATAAAATACATCCAACAAAAGTAGCGAAAAAATGAAAATTTACAGTTATGAATATTAACAATATTCCTCTAGTGACTTTGCTTTATTTCTATAAAAACTACAAAAATATAGCTGAATACAGGTATAAATTATAGGTGTATACAGCTAAGGGTGGGGCAGATACAGCTAAGGGTGGGGCAGACACACCTCCCCTGTGGGATACCATTCTATTTAATTTCATAAACATGAAGAATCGCTTTTAGTAAATGAATGCTTATGAACTTGGTTCCTTCTTATGAATATCCCCTCTTTTAATTTCAATTTTAAGTTAATTTATTTTTTCTGTGATTCCTCATTTTTTACTACGATCACACTATCACTAATCCGTATATGTGTGAGGTACAATTGTATACTTCTTAATTTGTTTTTTGTTAAAAAAACCCATTAACTTAGATACTTATAAGTGTATTGTTAAATTATAATTAACTGTGCTACATACGGTATCTTTTTATGTGATTTACATGTGGAACCCTACATGGATAAGCTTATTAATTTTATCAAGAACATATTTAATATGAAAAATATACATGTTTACACAAATAAAAATGTATATGTAAGTACATGTATTACATGGTAAAGCATGTACTTAGATATACATTTTGTTTTGTTATCACATGTAAGTTTTTACAGGTAGATTTACCTGTTGGATCTCAGTCCCCTATAGGTAAATTAACTGTGCTACATACGGTATCTTTTTATGTGATTTACATGTGGAACACTACATGGATAAGCTTATTAATTTTATCAAGAACATATTTAATATGAAAAATATACATGTTTACACAAATAAAAATGTATATGTAAGTACATGTATTACATGGTAAAGCATGTACTTAGATATACATTTTGTTTTGTTATCACATGTAAGTTTTTACAGGTAGATTAACCTGTTGGATCTCAGTCCCCTATAGGTAAATTAAAAATGTTGGCACTCGGAGATACACCCAGTGTAGGCTCTTCAGTGAGTGTGACGGCCCATTTCATAAAAGCACACATACGATACATGTACATATCCGGCTTGAAATACTCGGTAATTGTATTGTTCCAAAAACGCCGGAAAAGACCAATTGTAAACATTCCGACATAATACACGTTTAGCTGATTGCGGATTCAAGATAGATAATTTTATCTTCCACTCAATCACATACTTAATGCAGCAATATACACGATTACATAACATGGGACGCCGAGCGTAATTTTGTCGTATAACCCTTTCACCATAGGAAACTTTAGTAGATTCTACCATACATTTATCTGGATGAGTCCATTATGGTTTATAGTGGTGAAAGGTTAAAGGGGCATCACGTGAAAAGCCATTTTTTTAAATGAATGTATGTATTGTATGCACTTCCACTTATGTTATGTTATGTTATGCACACGTTTTTACAAATTTATCACAGCCTTCTCCCGTCATACATTTACAATTAAATGTGAACAATGATAATAGGCATAAACATAAAGTATATATATATAAATATATATTGAATTTAGTCCCGGAATGTGACATCTGTACGGGGCTAAACACCTTTCTTCAACCATGGGACAAACCTTTCTGTAAAAAGGAATATTCACGAGACGAATATCCCTTTTCAAATGTTTTCATAAAGTGCATATATGCAATGACAACCTACACGCGTATAAAAAAGAGAAATGTTTGTGATTTTTTTTTATTACATTGTACAACTCAATATCTTTGACCAATTTTTTTTCTATACCATGCATACAAATTTATGTATACACTCTTTCCCACTTTCACTGTCTCCATACGCTAACACTTTGTAAGTCATATTAGCCATCACACACACTAACCTGTATGGCAAAACCACTAAGTGTACATGTAGAATATGTGTCGTATTGAGCAACTTGATAATTATATTTTTTCAATACTTTTCATAGATTAAAGCATTCTTGTCAATAGACCCTTTTTTATGTTGAGCAAACTTTTCTTTAATCATTTCATTTTTGGCTGAAACAGAAGCCGTAGTTATCGGCAGCACGCGTCATTTTTACAACGTAAACAAATATTTACTTCCCCTGTTTTCAATACGTATTCCGATTCTATCTGAAGTCGAAAATTATTTCTTTATATAGAAAAGGTTGTTACATGATCATACATTCTAAGTCAACATCATATGAAAACATGAACTATTGAAATATTACGATTTAAAAGAAAATGTTACGCGATACTTTTTACTAGAAGTAGGTTCTCCTTCCTCAGTTATTCATCCTGGCCCATCATTTTGACATTTTTAATCTAGCTGCGATAATGTAGCTTTCTGACGACGAGAGAATTGTTCTTTATATAATTAAATCATACCATTTTACTGAACCCGGTAATATTTTAAATTATGTAAATCTAAAAGCGCACATATCTCATTTGACACCGACCACGAGTACCGACAGAGACAGAATACGCCGTGGCTATCACAACAGTAAACCCTTGGAGGGCCTCATGACAAAATCAAACTAACCAGTCACTTATCCCTTCCTTTCGCATAAACCACTGTATAATTATAGAAACACAAAGTAAAACTCTCTCCGATACATGCCCATTGACATATTAAACTATGTTCACCCGTATTCAAACTCAGACAAAGATACTTTAATAGTTTTAGATATTTACAGCGCTAGCATTTCTGTCGATTCCATTTCAGCTTAACCGGCTATCCGGAAGAATACATGCAGCGTACTAACTGCTAGGGCAGTTATTTTCTCCTTTGAATACTTCCCACCTGTAATAATGATTCCGTAACGTACTCCTTGCGCTATCTTTTGACCATTCGGCAACTTTTCGCCTAGTAGCTGACACTCCGAAAGGATTCCTTTATCAACATCTAATAGACAATTTTTCTTTGCAATCATATTTAATCAAACCAATTGATAATTCATATAAAAAGACTTTAGCTCGCTTTAGACTTAGCTCTCATAATTTAAATATTGAACAGGGAAGATATAGAAACCTTACCAGAGATCAAAGATTCTGTAACTTATGTAACTCTAATGATATTGAAGACGAATTTCATTTTATATTAAAGTGTAACTTTTATAACGACTTAGGGCGCGAGTTTATTAAGCCTTTTTATTACAAACGACCAAGTGTTTTCAAATTGATACAGTTATTTACTACTCAAAACATTAAGGAATTAAATAAATTAGGAAAATTCCTGTTTTTAAGTTTAAAACGTCGTAATAACACTGTATAATATTTTATCTCATTTTTCATGTAAATGTTCATTTCAGTATACCATATTTATAAGATATTTGTATTATGTGTATATAGTGTAAAAAAAAAAGGTGATTGTGCCCGTTCATTTCCTTTCCTATGTGAAATAAAGTATATGGTAAATTAATCATAATTAACAACTTCGAAACATCGACGAGTATTTTCTATATCGTAATATCACTGTCACTAACGTCAGGTGTAACATCGTATTTATTACACTATGGTAGTGTATTTTATTTGGGTTTTTTTACTGTTCTACTAGAGAGTATTTATTCGTGACATATGTGCGATATAATGTATGTAGCTATATTAATCCAGTTATCATTACCTGTAACGTACGTCATTGAAAGTTATACTATTGTTATGCTTGCACTGTATCGGATCCTTACGATGTTGGTGTATTGCAGTGTAAAATGCTGTCTCTTATTATATGTCATTTTGAAGTACTGCAAGATTAATGAATATTATTGTATACATGTATCATTGTAAATTTGTAATATACTGTACTATTTGTATGTCTACTCTCCGATGTGTGTTACACAAGGAATAAAACAATCTGAATCTGACACGGTATAACACTTTTCTTTGGCTTACTTCACACGGCCAGTCATTTTGTTTACAAAGAAATGGTGTGCAATGCGCATGCGCTAGTAGAGGAAAATCCCTGAACAAAACGTTGGTCAGACAGGTAGAAATACCGATGATTATCTTAAATTAAATCATTTTTATGAATCTATTTCAGCCTAAATCCGATCGTTTTACAAAATTTAATAGCGAATTCCATGGCGCGCGGAAATCTCCCTGGACACTCATTCCTCCCAACCAGGCATCTTTATCGACGTATTTCGGTACTTTCGGGTATGGTGGACCTTGAATTTTACACACAGCTAGGCCGTGCAAACAATTATTAATCAGAAGAAGAAAAAATTAGGGTGACCACTACTGCTTCGTCTATAAATAGATCCTTTTTGGCCAGCTTCGGAATACTATATGATGTAGTGTATATAAAATATGATATGAAGATAAAGGAAAAGTTTGAGTATGCAGTAAATTTCTTTCCGTTAAATCAGTCTTCAAAAGTATAATATTTAGTAATACGTACGAAAGTGGCTATCCACATAATCCTCACGCCCCTTGTAATTCCCGGTGGCCATATTTGTTTTGCTCTCTGGGGGCGTTACGTAACTTTATGCAAATGAACCAGGGTTTTAATCATATGACTTCCGATACACGTACACACAATCTAGCTTGCCATGTCTCATAACTGAAATATTCACATTGATAGTAAAGTCTTATAACAACGATTTTGTAACAGTTGGGTGGAATTCATTAGACACCGTGCACGTCTCTGTAGTTGCATGCTTGTAGCTACAAAAGAATGGGGACGAGTCTATAAGCCCGGGAGGCCCGTGAATCATCTACTTCGATTGGATCGATCACACGTGTGTAGCCGGAGACGATCTAATAATAATACTACAGTAATACTAATTGTGTTTAACGTTCTGTACATGGTCAACAACAAATATAAGCTATGTAGACACTGATTAGAGAACAAATATTGTCTTTCGTTGTGGCGAAAACGAGCCGTATTAGCTGGTTGACGAGCGACAATACGTATGCACTATTTTCATTGGGTAAAGTAAGACGACCAGTATGACCTGTCGCCTTGACCTTTTTCCTCTTGTAAGGTAATCTGAACCCGGAACAATAAATGATCCGAAGATAAACTAGAGCTAGGTCAGTGTGACATTTCAGCCGCTCACCGCTTTAGAATGGTTTGTTTTAAGAACATTTAAACAAAGTCAGCGCAGGTAATGTACATGTTTGTTTTTTATAGATTTCATAATTCGGGAGTTTATTTTTTTGTAGCAAAACATTTTTTATCCACATCGGCCATCTCGTCTTCAAATCTTCAGCCTCAGGAATGATTCTCAATTGTTGCTTTTTTTTTTTTCTCACTTTTGTGCTTCTTCTACATCTTATAACCAAACAAAAACATTGGTCCGTTTCCTGCCACCTGACTGACCCTAAACAAAATTTGTCATTCTAGATTGTTGTTTTTTAATCTCACAAACCCTATTATTACAGATTTCGATCCTGCCTGGAATTTAGAATATACCCAAAATCAACATGCGGGCGACAACATAAAATTACTGAAATAAATATGCTCTTTTTTCAATAAAACATCAATTAAAATATTCTACCGACTCTATCAGTATTTTTTAGTCATGTAGTAGGAATAAGTTGTTTATTTTTTATTGCCTTTCTTATTCCGATGCATGCATTTATTACTTAATCACAAATAAGTTAAAAAAAAATGGTCATCTGATAAAAAAAAAAAAAAAAAATCCACGTCAAATTAAGGACTTGACTACAATGTAAGTTAGAAGAGTTATCGCCCTTACACCAACTTTGATTATATATTGTACGACACAATATGTGAAAAATTATTCAAGACAAAATACATTGGTGTGAGAGGTGTTTGAAGAGAAAGCACATCTTTGTTTAATTACTGGTGGTTGTCACGTCGATCTAAGCACTGCAGACAAATTGCGTTGCCATTTACCAACAGTATGTGGCGGTACTTCAACCTTTGTTTTTAGATACATGTCCTCATTTAAATTACCAAGAACTTGATTAACCTGGAAACTCCACAGATCGGAAATAAATGAAAATGCTTTAATCTCGGGTGGTTAAAGAACTCGAATCAAGCATTCTTCTGACCTCAACGGTTCTTGTAGAACGCCACAGCAGACTTTCAAATGTCGGACTGTATGCAAGACAAAGGAGGCCAAGAGTGGCGTAAAAAGTAGTATTTTAAGTTCAACCTCATGTGGATTCATGCGCAAAAAGTATATGAGACCAATCCAAACAATTCCTTTATCAATGTTATCACAATATGGAAACTATTATAGACACCGACTTACTGGAGAGTGTTCTTTGTCCACTATACACGTACATGTACATAGTTAATACAATATCCTCATATAGTTTGCAATTCACACAAGAACGTACCTTATACGAATTTATTTTCCAACACAATAATCCATTTCAATGTGTACATTGCCCGTTTACTATGATACACGTTGCCATACATTTTGCCATTCAGTGAAGTACGGTACTCATACACTATTTTAATATCAGTGAAGTGTGGCACGAATGCTTTTTGTTGAAACAATCTCACGATTATCTGTCAAGCTTGACCTATGTCCATGACCTTTGCGAGCACACACCTGTACTATAGGGTGTTCAGATACGAGACAAGTGTCTTTTACACCGTCGATACCTGTACTTCGAAAACACGACAACCTTAGGTAAAAAGGACGCCATTCTATTCAATATCAAAAACAAGTTTTAACTGTTGTCAGCGTGGCAACTGTAATCGCACTATCCATATAAAGATACTATTAAATTGGTATATATCGATTGCTTGCTTATAGTCAAGTTAGTTAAGTGTTATCTGAACTTTAGGCCATTGACCCATCAGTATACAATACATATTATACACAAATCATGGACAATGTACAGAGAATGAAGACAATCATATTCCATCATAGATGCATTTTCCTAGTATAAACAATTCTTTAATTTAATGGACACTCAATAACTGAACGGCTTTAAACACAGATGGTTTTTTCCAATAATAGTTTTTGATAAAACGTGATCTGACATTTTGGAATTTAGAACAGACTAATAAAAAATGAAATTCGTCCTCTACTTCAGAGGGGGAGTTACACTGTTTACAATATCTACGTTCTCTAGGTATCTTATTATACCTTCCAACTTCTACAGCCAAAGAATGTGCAGATGTACGGATTCGAGTTAAACAAATGCAATATTTCATTGGTATATATTTTGTTCGATAAAATTGTAATGATTCTCCAAAATCCATGATATTTTTATACAATAAACATTTTGGAGAGTTTTCCATTGAGGCCCTTAGGGATTGTATGCCTTGATCAAAAAATCTTTGTTTTATCAATGTTAATAACACATTTTGCTGAGAAATACATGGATTCAACCAAACATCACTAAGACCTAGATTATTCAATTCATCTCTTACTGCTTTAGCCCAGTTGAAATCATTTTTACTACAACATTTTAATAAAAATCTATAGGAAATGGATATGATACAATTTCAAGATTTTAAGATCTTAAACCAATATTTCATCATTCTAATTTTTCTCATACAAACTAGAGGTAATCGTCCCAATTCAAGATATACAATGTTGTTATTGGCCGATTTCTTCACTTTTAGTAATTTCTTACAAAAATGTAAATGTACATGTTCAAACTCTGGAGCTTTGTGCATACACCAAATTTCACTTGCATAAAAAAGGATACTGCTTACATATGTATCGAAAAGGTGTAGCATAGTTTTTACATTTAAGTTTAGTGATGAACACTTTGAAAATAATGCAAACATTGCTTTTCGTCCTTGGATAGCTAATTGTTATTGGATAGAAGTGAATATATTATTGTAAAATAGAATAACACCTAGGTAAGGAAATTGATCCACACATTCGACTTTAGTTCCTTTGTAATACCATTTTCTATCATTATGTAATCTTCCACCTTTTCTAAAAACTACAATTTTTGTTTTTTCCGTATTTACAGTTAAACTCCATTTTGTAGAGTATTCAAAAAGGCTATCAAGAAGAGTCTGCAGGCCCTGTACAGATTCCGAAAAGACAGAAACAAACTTAATTCACCGAAGTCGTAATGCACCGTTTTCAATAAAGGACATTTCAAAATCATTGATAAAAATTGAAAACAGTAATGGTGACAAAATTTCCCCTTGCAATAAACTGACATTGTTTTCAAAAAAGTCAGAGCATTTCCCATTAATTGAAACACAGGATTTCACTGATCTATAAAGCGACTTAAGGTAATAGGATTGTGTCACCATTTCTCAATAGAATTTCTTCAAATTTTGTAGTTATATTGCTTTAAAGTAAAGAAAATTTTCTGCCACAAAAAAAATATAGGTTGTCAGAATTTTAAGGATTTTAAATGGAAATTTATGTAAAAAGGAGTGAATTTTGAAAAAAAAATGAAAGACACAATATTTTTACAAAATAATGTCAATGAAAATGATACTGACATATATTAGTATTGCATTAATGTATATCAATTTAATAAATGCTGAAATTGTGTAAAATTAATTCTCTATACACGATATAAAAATTGACATTTTATAATAAAACCATATACACATAGTAATTGCAGGTAAGAGTTATCGTTCTTGAAAAACTTCACAGTAGTGAAATAGGTAGCCGGTTTCCTGAAGTACAGAAAAATGGACACATGTGACTCATTGATAAAAAAAACCTGAATTAATGCCTGGATTGCTTTGGAATACTTTGATATTGAGAGAACACACTGTTCTGTCAATAATAAACATACAATATTCATCAATTTAATATTAAACATTAGAATTTGTGGAAATTGTGATGCTGTCTCCCTACATTGGTTATTCAACTAGGGATGTACTTCCTGTTTCCGTTTATCAATACACTCCAATGACCTTAATAACAGACAACATTTCCCCTCGAATACCAAGCCTAGTCAACTTGCGCCATAAGCTTAACCTGTCGACGAAATCAAACGCTTTGCGAAAATCTACAAAACAACAATTCTATCTTTTCTTAGATGATGATGTTTTTATTATAATAGTATGTAATGCAAATATAGCATCTATCGTACTCACTTCCGGACGAAATCCGAATTGAGCATCTGTTAAAATAACTTATCTTATACGAATTTATTTTCCAACACAATAATCCATTTCAATGTGTACATTGCCCCCCGTATACTATGATACACGTTGCCATACATTTTGCCATTCAGTGAAGTACGGTACTCATACACTATTAATCAGCATTAAGTAGATAATTTTGGTCTGCAATACTACCAGAAAAAAACTATTGATCAGTTGTATAAGAACAGTATTTCATGTATTCGCTTAAGCGCCCACAAGCTCAATATTGAAAGTGGAAGATACAATAATGATATTGAGAGTTTCACTTCATCCTTTTAAAAGTGTCCTATTTATGCAGATTTACGAGTGAGATACATGAAGCCATATAATTTTAGTGTATTTGAACTTGTTCATTTGTTCAGTGCTAATAATGTAAAAGATTTGTGTAATCTTGGTAAATATATAAGATTTGCTTTTAAGAAGCGCTCTCAGTCATTATAGTATTA